GCCTTCAGGTTCCTACCTTAATGCCTTCTTCATCATTGACTCTTCGGATGATCTTGTTACATATCTCAGGCACCTTGGGAAAGTCTGGTTGCTCAATACAGATGTCACGTAGGGTTTTGATGACCCGTTTACGAACACTGATACCAGTGTCCTGCAGGCAACAATATCAAGTAAATGCATATGCATAAGGAATGTTTGATTGAAAGTCGCTATTACACACAAATGCTCTTAATAGTAGTTGAAAACTGTGTTAAATTCACCCTAAATTGGAAATTGCACTGTTAAAGTTTCTAAAGGTTTATGCTGCACGTGTTTAACATGGAATTTCTGAAATGACTCAAAGAGTGTTCAATGGATGCCAAGACAATAAAGGAACTCAAGTGTTGTTATGGAAAAATATGAAAGTCAAACCTAGATACAAAACAGTTCCTTGCTTTTGCAAACCAAAACAGTTCTGGATTGTAAATTGTGACATAGAGAGGTGACAATGATTCATGTGGAAATCTTCATCTTCACCTATGAGCCTAGGTTAGGAGTTGACAGGAGGTGTCCTCCTTACAATAATTCATCTGAGAATCTTCTGACTTTAACCCATGGGTTGAGGTTAGGAGGTGTCAGTAGGATGTCCTCCTTACAATGGTTCATTTAAGAATCTTCTTGCTTTAACCCATAGGTTGGGGTTAGGTGTCAGGAGGACGTCCTTCTTACAATGATTCATTTGAGAATCTTCTGACTTTAACCCATCGGTTGAGGTTAGGTGTCAGGAGGACGTCCTTCTTACAATGATTCATTTGAGAATCTTTTGACTTTAACCCATGGGTTAAGGTTAGGAGATGTCAGTAGGATGTCCTTACAATAATTCACATGGGAATCTTCTAAGCCTAACGCATGGTTAATCACAGATTAAGGCTGTTCGTTTTACGGTTGCTAATGCAATTCCTAACCAATGTCCTCCTTACCAGTATTCTCTCAATCAACATGGAGAAGTAGCGATTGATGAGCTCAGGTTTCATCAAGACAAACTTGCCCACTAATTCCACCGCTGCTTCCCTGACGCTGGTAGACTGATCCATGAACCGACAATGCACAGAACGTTGGACATCAGCCTACATCCAATCCAAATCAAAGTCATTCGATAACACTGCTCACTGAATGCAACTCATAAAGTTTGCATCATGTGGTAAACAACTTAACATGATAGGCAGTTACAGCAAATTATTCACAGACTTCTTCATATCGATTAGACTCTTGAGGGCACAATATGCAGTTCACATTAGTACCCAAAGGTCAATTATGGTATAATCCTTTTAAGCATTTTCCTGATTATTTGACAATGTCAAATTTGACAGAGATTTTATTCAAATTTATCATTTTTAGATTGCATTTTACTCAAAAACAATTTTAATCCACATACTGTCTAGAAGGAACAGGTTTGAGTTGCTTGCTTACCCTTGCCAATACTGAAGGGTCAGCCGCTACAACTGAAGACAGACACTTCATGGCCTTGGTTCTGACTGCCACTGCTGTCTCACTCAGAACTCGTAGGATCTAATTCAATAGGATAATCAATCATTTAAGGCAGCATACTGAACAATTTATTACCCAGGACAACACCAAGACAGTCATCCTGCCATTTTAAGTCCATTAAACTTTGTCACAGCCAGCACATTGAAACTCACGTGAACCAAAATCTTTTAGTCTCGACTAAAATCTTAACTGTAACAGCTTGTTCACATCTTGACCATCATGAACTGCTCGTCATTCAAGATTCTACAGAACTTTCAGAACTTATTTTATGTTCAAACAGATCATGGAAGCAAACATACTTAACCATAATTGTCTGTATTGATGTAAACTTCATTACCTGTTTTTTTCCAGTTTTATCCAGTGTTCCTTATTTAAGTTTTAATGAAGGTCAGTTGTGTTTTTACAATTTTTAATGTCGCGTCTGGTAGTTAACTTTATTACAGCATAGGTATGGTTAGAGGTGTCTGCCAGCGGGGCTAGGTCTAGATAAAATTCATTCTTCCGGTTGGTAGGACAGACGAATCCCCATACTGCAGTTTGGGTACTAGCGCGGTGACAATACATGACTTAAATTCTAATCCTGTTTAATTTCATCTATTCAAGTTGCACCACTGCACACACCTTTGATCATTTTTATGGAAACGGTGCATTATAACTTTTCAAATTATGATTTATTATTATTACCAAGTGACACTTACTTGGCTTAGGTAGATGTCAAAACTCTGTGAAAATGGTCTCTTGGAGGCTAGGTATCTTGCTACCAACGAAGCACTTTCGTAAGTTAAGATGTGCCGTGATCTCCTAAAAATTAGAAGAAAAAACATGCCGGAATGCCAAGCCATCACTTTCAGTAAGAAGGTCCAGATGTCATAGATACTTGACCCCTAACAAAGATTTTCTGGTCTGTTTCACAAGTGAAAGTTACATTCTATAGTAAATTTGACCTACTTGAATGAAAGATTGGAGCGAGCCGAAACCTTGATGAATGATTTCAAGAACAATTTTCTCCGCTCGGCTTCTTGTAGGATCTCTGTTGTCATATCAACCGCACGGTTTTCACGGTCACTGTCCTCGTCATCGTCACTGTCATCTCGCTGTGGTGGAGGCGCCTTGATTGTCTGTTCCACTTCAGCTGTGGTGTCTCGATACCACTGAGCCACCAGGAAGTGTCTGGCAAACTGCATAAATACAATCACGTGAACTTAGACCCAAAATTTATTTCATATTAAACTTCATTTGAAGAAAGTATATCTGACTGTTGGAAACGAGACAATAGGTGAAACAGGATGTCGTTCTTAAGTTACAATTGTAGTCTAAGGCAACATTTGCAACACTACAATTTATGTCAACGTACAAATAAGGCATATGAATGCAGCAGAACCTAGTTTTAAATGAATATTTTCTCCGACTCGTACAAGAAACTACGGTGTAAGTTTAGCAGAATTAGAGCAGCTAGAAAGAAATAAAGCCCCAAGTATCAAGTCCAACCTGATACCAATATTCAGCTCTACTTACCAATATTGCTGGATCATTCTGACTGTTGTAAGACAAGTAGTCCAGCATGGCTTGCTGTAAATTCTGAATGTAGTCTGTTTGATCTGAATCTTTCGAATCATTTTCATCACCAGACTGTTCTGCAACTGCTGACCTTGTCTGTTAAGAGAGAAGCGATGGTAGAATGCTTAATAAATATATCAGCAAACACAAATTAGTCCGTGTCTGAATCACTTGGCTGCAGCTTGAAATTACACTAGAGTCTATGGTAGTGGCTGTGGCCAGTTCCCATAGAGTTGTGTGTAATTTTCAGCCGTAGCCAAGTGATTCGGACAGGGCCTTCGTCTTAAGGTCAGCACAAATTTAATATCACCTACAGCAGACCACTAAGCAGCCTCATTGAATTGGACCCTGTCCCAATGGAAAAAGTTTTTCCTTTCACCTTGTTAGAAACGGCTAAGGGTGGCTTGCAGATAGGGGTACCTTGACTGTGGACTGCAGAAATTTCAAAACACTACTTTTTGTCAAGTGTCCACAAGCATACGTGTTGGTACACAAAGCCTGATGCTTAATTCACATGTTGGAGGCTGAGGAATGTTAACCCTAACACTCCTCAGTCCTCCAACAGGTGAAGAATTGAGGAGTGTTAGGGTTAATGCCTAGACACACGATACTTGCACTACACCTTCAAAACATCTGACATCTTTCTCACTTACCAACAATTCTTCCTTCCAAATAAACTGATCTTACCTGAGTAACAATAGTATCCAATGTGCCTTGATCCATGTAGCTTGACACTGCATGCTTTCTCAACCTACTCGCTATCTGACCCAAATAGTCTAACGATGAAACACGCATCGTCATATCATTGGAGCGATTGCTGAACTGGTGCATCTACATATTCAAGAAAATGCAGACATAACCAACATGACCAGAGTTCCACTTCTTGAGTTACACCACCAATAAAGGTAAGACTGCTTGATAAGATAGAACTTGTTAGCGTCCTTTTTTTGTAAATTACTTTAAGTGATTAAGTCATGATTCATCCTCAATTTGAATTTGGTAGTTTCGAGTGCAAAAAGTCATACACAATTCTACCTGCATTTTTACAGTCAAGGCCGACCAAGAATCCCACGTAATGTTCAGTCCCCAATGACCCCCTTTTCACACTCTCACACTATGTTCTCTATTTTTTCACTTTATCTACTTACCAGTAATCTCCCCAACAGACTCAGTAACAGCTCAGCAGCAGGCCACTCTGGTTTATTGACAGCAGACAGGAGATCTTGTACAAAGTTCTCAAACAGAGGTCGATAATCTTCTTCATCTCGACTGACACACCTGTTCAAAGTACACAAGCTCATTACCCAGTTCCATTTTACCTACCACAAATTCTATTCCAGTAAGTTCACTGCACTGACCATGGTTAGTAAATAAAAACTGAAGTTGAAATTTTACAAGTACTTTGTAAAGAACATCCAAAATGAGTTGAAGAGTAAAAAGCCTGTTATGATAAATCTTCATGTCATGAATAATTCATACATCATAAGAAGAGGAATGTTAACTTACTTCTTCAAGAAGACAGACAAGAAGTTTTGGCCCGTTCTTACAGCAGTTTCGTATGTATTGATGATCAACACATCCTTGTCCACCTGTAATACAATGAAAACAAGTCACTCAAACACGAACGGGAAACAAATGTTTAGTATCTCAGCTAAGGCGGTGTGTCTTGGAATGACTGACTGGCGTCTCACTGCACACTGTAACACACACAACAATCCATAATAACTAGCCATTCAACTAGTCACTAACTACTCAATCACTGCCAACTTGTCAAAGATACAAGTTAACCATACTATGTTTAACTCAGCGCTGGATTTCTGACGTAAAATTTTACACCAGTGGAGGGCACATGTACACACGACCTTACAACATGCCATTACATAATTCATACCTCTCTTGACTTTTTCAAGTCGTCATCATCATAACTGTACTCATCATCAGACTCTTCCTGATTCCCTTCAGAATCATCTTTTGGTTGAGGTAGAACCACAACACACTGTATCAACTGCAAGACTAGTGCTGTTACCATCTGAACATTGGTGTCTTGGTTTAACCTGCAGAAAATTTAAAACAAGTGAGTGATTTGTGACTCAAGTCCAAGTTAGGCGACTCACACTCATCTAATGACAATGAACTAGGACTCAACTTTAGTCTCAACTAAATGTTTCAACCCACCTGAAGTTTCTGAGATTCTTCTTACTGGAGGGTAACCTTGCTAGTGATGCAAAAATGTCTTCCAATATCAACTGCCGGTGTTTCTCGTATTTAGAAAACACCTGTCATCAAAAGAAAGTTACTGGTTATAACAGGTTATGAATTAACAGGAACTGAATAAAAACTGCTTTGCTCTGGTTATCTGGTTATGACGAAAGTCAATATTTTACAATGTGATTTCTAATGAATTAACTCAGTTCTGATCAAGTTGCAAATCAGCAAAGGGAACCCAGAACATCCTTGCCTAAAAGAGCTAATAGAGTGAAAGTTCATGTGTCTAAATACAACGCCAGCAGATTTACCGTTGAGATGAGTTTCATTGCACTCAGCTGTAGTTCGCTGATATTCTCCACAAAGAATGGAGCGGTACCAATAGATGAGACCTTGAAATGAGAATAAACACCAAGACAACATTTATCATCACGTCCATTCCACAAGATCTTATTTTAGAAAATCAAAAGCAAAAGCATCCAATTCACAGTATTAGCATTGAAGGCTTTAATTTTGAGGAGAGAAAAAAAAGTGATTCTCATTACAATCGACTGAGCCCATGTCCAAGGCATTGGCACCAAAACAATCCCACATGAGATAATAAGCTAACAATTTGTATGTACCAGTAATACTGTGGAATCAGTCAAAATCTGTATGTCCAAGAGCTCGCCTAAGTTGGCGACCAATACACAGAGTTTGTTGTACAAGGCAATGATGGATTTCTCAGAGGATCCATGAGCACGGGCCCGCTTCATCTTCATATTCGTATACACTGCATCTGAAAAATAAGAGCCATAACATTACAGAACATTCATATCAGACTTCAATTTAAACATTCCTCAATTATACAATTAATATAATACAAAACTTGAATACATTGACCAAATATCTTGTACTTTTCAGAAATTCAAAATGTTAACGCAATGCCTGTGTGGTGATTTTTTTCACTGTGAAATATGAGGTGACTAGTGTTTTAACCTCTGTATGCTTGAATGCAACCTCTTAAAACACACACACCAAAATTCTAAAGTGTTCACAAGTTAAGGCTTATATTACATTGAAATGTGTCTTGCATGTCTATCCGCTACAAAGCACAATTTTTCAAAAATTGCCCACAGAAATCAGCCTGCTGGCTCAGCGAGATTAATCCTGTTACATCTAAACCTTCACAACTATTTGTTCATTCCTGGCGGCCACGATGACAACTATACTTACTCTTATCTGTGCCAACTCGATAAACAGGATCAAACTCAGGGTAGATGGAATTCTGCAACTGGAACTTGGCCAAATTGGCAGTACGATCAATGACATCTTCAATGAAGACTTCCTTTGGCATAGCGTCTGCTGTCATGACATAGAGTGCAGTCAATGCTGAATCTACAGAATGTGTAATCCTCTCCATGGCTAGCTCACGCCACAGGCGTTCCCCACGACCTCCCTCATCCTGATGGGTTGGGTAAAATGCCGGTCATAATTAGCAATTCCTTGGTTGTACCACTGAGTGGACTCTTTTGGTAAGCACGGATCAAAACGTGACTCATTGTGCGTAGGCACTGTGCACAAGATAGGTCAGGTCATGGTATTTATCAAGAAAGTCATATTAAGCAATGGCCAAAAATGATAGACGGATGTAAACTATGGTACTACAAGCATGTGAAAGGCTGTAACCAACTCACACTAATTAAATGTTTGCTGTAGTACTGTATTTCACAATGAAAAATTGACTAAATAAGCTCATTTTTTGTATGCATTAGGCTCTTTACGTACAAGAAATTTTCAAACTTTGGAAAATTAGACCAACTCCTTTTGTGGCAAAAGGAAACAGATGGGAAAAGGAAGTACACCAACACAGTGACACTGGGGTAATATAATCTTTTCAAAATATGGTAATTTTAAGCTAACTGGATCTATATTTCGTCATAAGACTATATTTCATATTTGTCAACTTACATGATTAATGTTGGGTTTAACCTTTGTGCCATCCCGGATGTTTCTCTCCAAGATGTTCAACAACCGAACTAGTTTCTCATGAGGAATCTGTAATTAAAAGGTTTCCATTTACAAGTTTTCTGATCATGAATTTTTGCTGATATGTAAATTGTTGTCAAACTTGTACATTGCCTCTTCTTTCTAGAGTTTTGGGGTCTCCTGCCATGAAGATGTCAAGAAGGATGGCACCCTTGTTCAATAGAAATGGTTTTCTTATTCTCATCAAACAAGAGTGGCAGTTGAAGCTCTTCTCAAAATGTAGACACAGTTGAAAGTACTTTCCAAAATGAGACTGACTCCTCAAGCTTTGTTCTTTCCTTACCTGGTTCATAACACCCATGGATTTGAGTTTGGCCGATTCCGAGACCAGATCATTCAGAACAGGTTTACTGATGAGTAGCTCAGGATTACATTCATCAGTCTCTTCTTCATCATCAGCTACTCCAAAATCAAAACAAATATCAACACATAAAAAGACGCTGGCTTAAATGAAATAGTTTGATTTACATTAGCGTTGACCTCCTCAAGTTAATCCTTGGTTTACAACATTTTGAAAGACAAATACCACATGAGCTGTGCCAAAATTCCCCTCCATGGGGTTTCACATCTCCCGCTTTTGTTTGTCTACAACAATTACATTTCCTTCCAAACACAATGCTATACCTACCTTGCTCAACGCTTATGTCCATATCTTCTGATCCTTCAAATACTGCTTCCATGGCAGCATGGAACCTCTTAAATGTGGCAGACTCAGTAAGTTCTGTAGACAACAACAACGGTCAAATGGTTTACAGTATGCTTAGATCAAAACGATTGAAGACTGTCAATTCATTGAGAAACCAACCTACTTACCGTCATCATCTAGGTATGTGGCCTTCTTGTTTGGTGTTTTGTCCCTCTTTAGCCTCTTCTTAGGTGCTGCAATAGACAGGTCAGAAATCAAGGGAAAAGAAGACGTCGTGACAAGAAAATGTAAGGAGTATTTCTTTGGCAAAGGGGTAACACCAGCAGTTAAGTGATTTGTGTTAATCTCAGAAAATTTGATGAAATGTCAGGTGCTACTTCAGCACACGGTTTGTTAACAAAAGCATCTCAAGTATTACAATGGCTATGAATTCCAGAAGAAAAGGGTAATACTGCTTGTCTTTTCAGAGCTTCAAGCCAACACATACCTTCTTCTTCATCATCTTCCTCGTCTCTTTCAATGAAAATTTGGGCAGGTGGGCCTTGAGACACGGGAGATGGGAGAGCTTCTTGTCTGGAAGCAGGTGGTGGTGCTGGTTCCCACTCTTCATCAGTGTCTGTATTCTTCCGTTGTCGTTTCTTTCCCCTTCCCATGGGTTTAGCCAGCAGGGCCACTTGATCCTCTGATATGGAGATCTTGGTCAGTAGTATCCTAGGTTGACTGATTGCACTTTTCGAGACTGTATCTGCGAAACAAGTTGACAGAATGAATATGAATTTTTGGCAGACAACCGGCCTCTTCAAAGCAATACTTTCTATCCTCAGCAAATTTCTTAGAGTAATACCAGCATAAATGGGCTTGATGCTTAAACTGAGATTATAAATTGCAGAACCAAGCCGTTGGCCAAGGTTACTTAAGCAAAAACTAAGCAAAGGGGTCACAGAAAAACCAGTGACTTGTGGCATTTAGGGTGGTTACTCGCACAGCATCAAGGATTTAAATTAATCAATGACACTTCCAAAACCAGTTGTTCACTCTTTTTCAACAGCCATGCAATTACCCAACACAATTTTCCTGAAATCAGAAATTAATACTGCACCGCTTACCACCATCCTCTGATTTATTTGCTATGATACTGTCTCCATCGCCATCTTTTTCTTGTGTTGATGTCCTAGCTTCACTGGCTGAGGCATCCTCTTGTTGTGGTATGTCTTCAGGCTGGCGTACTCCTAGAGACTTGGGTGTATCTTGAGGTTTGGGTTCCTCTGGAGGCTTTGTAACTTCATCAGGCTCAGCAATATCCTTGTTAGGTAGAGTTACCTCCTTGTTAGGTAGAGTTACCTCCTTGTTCAGAGGATGTACTTCTGTTTGAGGTTCATCTTGGACATCAGATACACCTGTCCGTTCACTGTGTTTAGCATCCTCCTGAAAAGTGTACAAAGATTCCTGGGCGACATTCCTTGTGTCCCTTTTCACTTCTTCTTTTACAACTTGTTCTGGCTCTTTCAACACTGTTTCTGGTTGAGCTGTCAACACTGTTTCTGGTTGCCTTACAACAGTTTCCCGTTTTGCTTCTGGCAACTTTTCCTTTTCTTTTGATTCGCTGAACTTGACTGGAAACCTTGTTAGCTTCAGTTTGATCTTGGTTGAGCCACTGGTATCAGGAGAACTCACAATATTGTACTGTGGTAATTCTTTGTCTCTCTCTCGATCTTCTTTATGGGACTTGCGTTTTTTACGTCTACTTGAGTCCTTCACTGATGAATCCGATTCTGTGACATCAAGGGAGGAACTTTCTTGACTAGTCTGTGGCTCTGCTTGATAACTGGCAGGCGACTGATACGCACCAGCAGAAGATGCTGCATCAGTTTCCTGAAAAGATGACAAAAAATTCTATGATGGATGGGTATTACGTTTCAGACTTGTTTGTTTTCAAAGAAATATTGCTTTAGTCAGTAAAGCTTGGTATATCAAATATCTCCTGAGACGTTCTATTCTGCTAGAAGTGAAAGTCCTTCCCTTTTAAACTAGGCCATTCCACATTACAGGAGAAACTGATCGCACTGTTAACGACCTCAATATAATGAACTGTCTTTTCTCAATGAAACTGAGAATATATGGTCATGGTACTACCAACTATTTTCACTTTCATATTCTGAAAATTGAGTATGAATTACAATAACAGAGTTGGTAATGGCGAGATGAATTTACATTTTTTCCACTGAACTGAAAAACTCACCAAAATGCAAGTATTTCAGTCAATTTTTGTCAGTTTATATCAACTAATTATTTCTAATATGGGTGATTCATAAGAGTGCACCTCCAAAAGTTTGCAACACGTAGGCCAATCACAATGCCTGCAATCTGTTGACGCAATGCACATTTGGAAAGGGTCAACAGATTTCACGTGATTGGCCAACACATTGCAAACTCCTGGAGGCGCACTATTGTGAATCACCAGTATTGAAGAATTGTAGAAAACCTTTATGTTTCAGCATTTTTGCCTGATACAAAATCAAAATAACATGTTGTACTGGAGTATGTTACAGAAAGTATTAGTTGAAATACTAGAGCAAGTGGTTTGCATCCTGAAGTTATTTCCACTTTGTCATGATATTGGATCAAGTGACAGCAACACCGATATGTCTAGATTTGGCACAACTGTGAACTTTGACATTGTCTAGACAGAAGAAATTACCCTCACAGAGACAGCTCTTTGACTGACTTCTAGATTTGGTGGCCGCTTGCGTGGTCGTCCTCTGCCCCTTGGTGTTGGTTGTTGCACATAATCACCTGAAGGTCCAGCTCCTGTCATTATTACAAATTTAGTGTCAGGTAAATCAAAAATTATATTGCTGGGCATTCTGGTAATAGTGCTCATTCCAGGCTATCTGAAGTCTAAGCATATGAGAGACCATGCATGAAAAATACTTGAAAGGTAAGCTGAATTAGATAGTATCATGATTGTTTTCCAATATAAGGATCTCACTCAACAACAAAAAGACAAACATTCCACTTCTGCAGCAAGTTTCTCTTGCCTCAAAGTACTTGATAGTATTTAATTAATAAGCCCTGCTTTCCTCACCGTTTGGTGGTTGTGCTAGCTGTGATCTCGATTTTGCCTGTACCGGTGGTGGAGTTGGCACAGGTTGACTGGGACTTGTAGCTGTGGCAGGTGACAATTGATGCCCTGTGTAACCATTGACTGACGTTGGAACAGGTGATCCTGGTTGAAAAATGCAAGTTCCTGTGTCTCAATACCGGCGATTTATAATATTAGATCAGTAAGAGAAAGGCCAGTTTTGCAGAACACTGTGGGAAATGGTCAACAAATTCTATTTGCCTGTTGCACGCAGGAGGCTTGAATTATTTCAAATTTCTGTTTGTCCAGGAAGACTCATAAGTGAATTCTGAGTGGTAGTTTTCTTCTTTCTACAGCACTGAATGTCAAGAGCTCTCGCATTTTTCCAAAACTGAACCAGGAAGCTTACTTCACATTTATCACCTGGAATTTCGCACCCTGTATTATTTACTAAAGAAAAATTGAGAAGGCTCTTTCAGAATTTCTAATACATCTGAACACTGTTTCAAAGTCTAGAAAAACTAGGTTTTCAGGACAAACTACCTTGTCCAGTTAGTCCCGCATGTTGGTATCTAGTTGGACTTCCAAGGGGCACTTTGACTGAGCTTCCTTGTGGGTAGGCTGCAGGGCTGTTTGGAGTAAAGAGCGGCGAGGAATTGCCTTGCATACCCATGTTGTGAGTCCTGCTGTATGGACTGTGTTGAATAGCACCTTCTGGAGACTGCTGATAGTAGGGGGATGGTGCCATTGGCTGTCTGGGTGAGACGCCTGATAGAGGACAAGATGACAGTAAAGACATTTCATATC